CAACGAAGACGACAACGAGGGAGGAGGGAGGACGACGACGGCGAAAGCGACGACAACGACGACAACGACGAGGGAGGAGGGAGGACGGCGACGACGCGAACGACGAAGAAGGAGGAAGGACGGCGACGCCGACGACGAGAACGACGAGGGAGGAGGGAAGACAACGACGACGACAACGACGACGACGACGACGACGACGACGGCGACGAAATAGGAGGGACGACGACGAGACGCCGACGACGGACGACGACGATGACGAGGGAGGAGGAGGAAGGACGACCACGGCGACAACGACGACGGAAACGACGACGACGCCAAAGAGGACGACGACGACGAACACGAGGAAAGACAGAGGACGACGTAGGCGACGACGACGACGACGCGAGAGAAGGGAGGACGGCGACGACGACGACGACGACGACTACGACGACGCAAGAGCGCGCGCGCACGCTTTTGTTGAAAATCCGTGTTGCGAAACCTTGTGTTTTTGTAGGTTTTTTTGGACACCCGATTTTGAAATCCTGCCGAAACCGATGGGTTTTGAAGGATTTCGGCATACGCGCGCGACGACGCGCGCGTCTGCACTTCGTCAAGTTTTTTGCAGAGGATTCTTGCGACGGCACCCGCGCAAGGGCGTTCGACAGATGTCGACATGCGCGCGCGCGAAGCCCGTTTGGTAGCATTTTGTGAAAATCTTGAAAAACCTATGGCCTTCTTAAGATTTCGCAAGAGCTCGCGCGTAAGCTTTTTTAGCAAAGCAGTGTTGCGAAACCCTGTGTTTTTCTATGTTTGTTGGGAAACTCGCTTGCGAAATCCTTCCGACACCGATGGGTTTTGAAGGATTTCGGCACACGCGCGCGACGACGCGCGCGTGTGCAATTCGTCCCATTTTTGCAAGGGATTCGGAAGGTCTTATATTAGAACAAAAAATGTCCCCGCGTATTGTTTTTTACAAGGGAACCTCAGGGGAACAGATCCCGGCCCCTCCGGGATAGTGTAAATTCACATTTAGGATGGACATGTGGACAAGGGGGGCGGCGAACGCCGGGGGGGGGGTAGAGTCTATTTTGTTATTAGAAAGGAGAATTAATTTCTGTTCGCAGTGAGTTCTCCACTCCACTGCTCTCGCAAACAGTTGTCCACTTCACTGCTCTCGCAAGCATCCCACCCACCAACTCGCAACTTGGTTTGCAAAATCTCTTAAGACCGTACCGGTGGGTACCAAATGGCAATTGGCAACGACAGCGACGCCGACGACGACAGCGACAACGACGACGACGACGCCGCCGACAACGACTACGACTACACCGACGACGTCTCCAAAAACTTCGACGACGCCGACAGCGACGACGACGAGGACACCGACGACCACAACGACGACGACGACGCCGACGCCGACGACGACGACGACGACGACGACAATGACAACGACGACGACGATGACGACGCCGACGACGACGACAACGACGACACCGACGACGACGACGACGATGACGTAACGACGACGACGACGACGACGACGACGACGACGACGCCGACGTCGACGACGACGACGACGACGACGACGTCAACGACGCCGACGACGACGACGACGACGACGACGACGACGACGACGACGCCGACGTCGACGACGACGACGACGACGACGCCGACGCCGACGACGACGACGACGAACGACGTCGCCAACGAAGACGACGACGATGGAGGAGGGAGAACGACGACGGCGACAACGACGACAACGACGACAACGACGAGGGAGGAGGGAGGACGGCGACGACGCGAACGACGAAGAAGGAGGGAGGACGGCGACGCCGACGACGACAACGACGAGGGAGGAGGGAAGACGACGACGACAACGACGACGACAGCGACGACGACGACGACGGCGACGACGACAACGCCGACGACGACGACGAAGACGACGACGACGTCGCCAACGAAGACGACGACGAGGGAGGAGGGAGAACGACGACGGCGACAGCGACGACAACGACGACAACGACGAGGGAGGAGGGAGGACGGCGACGACGCGAACGACGAAGAAGGAGGAAGGACGGCGACGCCGACGACGAGAACGACGAGGGAGGAGGGAAGACAACGACGACGACAACGACGACGACGACGACGACGGCGACGGCGACGAAATAGGAGGGACGACGACGAGACGCCGACGACGGACGACGACGACGACGAGGGAGGAGGAGGAAGGACGACCACGGCGACAACGACGACGGAAACGACGACGACGCCAAAGAGGACGACGACGACGAACACGAGGAAAGACAGAGGACGACGTAGGCGACGACGACGACGACGACGACGCTGGAGGAGGGAGGACGGCGACGACGACGACGACGACGACGCAAGAGCGCGCGCGCACGCTTTTGTTGAAAATCCGTGTTGCGAAACCTTGTGTTTTTGTAGGTTTTTTTTGGACACCCGATTTTGAAATCCTGTCGAAACCGATGGGTTTTGAAGGATTTCGGCATACTCGCGCGACGACGCGCGCGTCTGCACTCCGTCAAGTTTTTTGCAGAGGATTCTTGCGACGGCACCCGCGCAAGGGCGTTCGACAGATGTCGACATGCGCGCGCGAAGCCCGTTTGGTAGCATTTTGTGAAAATCTTGAAAAACCTATGGCCTTCTTAAGATTTCGCAAGAGCTCGCGCGTAAGCTTTTTTTGCAAAGCAGTGTTGCGAAACCCTGTGTTTTTTGTGTGTGTGCTTTTGGAAACTCGATTGCGAAATCCTTCCGACACCGAAGGTTTTTGAAGGATTTCTGCATGCGCGCGCGACGACGCGCGCGTGTGCACTTCGTCCCATCCCTTTTTGCAAGGGATTCGTGAACAAGTCTTATGTTAGAACAAGAGATGTCCCCGCGCATCGTGTTTTTACAAGGGAGCCTCAGGGGGACCGATCCCGGCCCCCCTGGGATAGTGTAAACTTATTTAGGATGGACATGTGGTCATAATCGTATATGATTTATATACCCGAAAGGGGGGCGGATAACGCCCGGGGGGGGTAGAGTCTATTCTGTTTTAAAAAAGGAGTTTACTCACTTGCTCAACTTGAAGCTGTCCTCTCCACTGCTCATGCAAACATCCCACCCTCCCACCCGCAACTTGGTCGCAAGACCTCATAATACCGTGACAGTTGGTACCAAATGGCTCTTGGCAACGACACCGACCCCGACGACGACAGCGACAACGACGACGTCCCCAACGACTTCGACGACGACGACGACAACGACGACGACGACGATGACGACGACGACGACGACGACGACACCGACGACGACGACGACGACAACGACGACGACGACAACGATGACAACGCCGACCACGACGACGACGACGCCGACGACGACGACGCCGACGACCACGACGACGAGGAGGACGACGACGACGACGACAACAACGACGACGACGATGTCGCCAACGAAGACGATGACAACGACGAGGGAGGAGGGAGGACGACGACGGCGGCAACTACGACAACGACGAGGGAGGAGGGAGGACGGCGACGCCGACGACGACAACAACGAGAGAGAAGGGAAGACGACGACGACGACGACGGCGACGAAATAGGAGGGACAACGACGAAACGCCGACAAAGACGACGAGGGAGTAAGGACGACCACGGCGACAACGACGACGGAAACGACGACGCCAAGACGACGACGACGACGAGGAAAGACAGAGGACGACGACGACGACGACGACGACGACTTGGGAGGAGGGAGGACGGCGACGACGACGACGACGACGCAAGAGCGCGCGCGCACGCTTTTGTTGAAAACCCGTGTTGCGAAGCCATGTGTTTTGGTATGTTCTTTGGACGCTCGATGTTGAAATCCTTCCGAAAACGAAGGTTTTTGAAGGATTCCGGCATGCGCGCGCGACGACGCGCGCGCAAGGGCGTTCGAAAGATTTCGACATGCGCACGCGAAGCCCGTTTGGCATTCTTGTTTGAAAATGTTTCTTTTACTAACAAAAAAATCTATTTTGTCTGTGGATTTCGCAAGAGTGCGCGCGTAAGCTTTCTTAGAAAATCAGTGTTGCGAGACCTTGTGTTTTTGTATGTTGGAAACTCGACTTTGAAATCTTGCCGAAACCAAAGATTTCAAAGGATTTCGGCATGCGCGCGCGACGATGCGCGCAAGGGATTCTTGAAAGCTTCTGAATTGTGATAGAAGGGTGTGCGCGCATAGATTTTTCTGCAGAGGATGGCTTGGCTGGGATAGTATGAACTCACAGGTCGGATGGACATTGGGTCAGAATCCGAGGTGTTTTACATGGGTTCCCGCGGGGTCTTTAACCCTGGGGGGGGGGAGAACCTATTTTCTATTTGCAGGACTGAGAATCTACGAAGTGCAACCCATGCTGCACAATCTAAGCGGCGAAAGGCCGGCGACGGGGCCGCCAAGGGCGGCAACGACGGCCAAGGGGCCGCCAGACCGCCACCGAGGCCCAGACAACGGGCGGCGACGAGGAGGTGACAGAGCGGCGACGGCGAGCACGGAGCCGCCAGAACGCCACCAAAGCCTGGAAGACGGGCGGCGACGAGGCGGCGACGGGGCGGCGACGGCGAGCACGGAGCCGCCAGACCCTAATTCTCCAAGCCCGGACGACTGGCGGAGCCGAGGCGGGGCTGCGACGGCGAGCACGGAGCCGCCAGACCGCCACCGAGGCCCAGACGACGGGCGGCAACGAGGCGGTGACGAAGCGCGACGGCGAGCACGGAGCCGCCAGAACGCCACGAAGGCCCAGACGACGGGCGGCGACGAGGCAGCGACGGGGCGGCCACGGCGAGCGAGGAGCCGCCCGACCGCCACCCAGGCCCAATTCCTTAGAGAAGGAACAGGGGCCCTTAAGTACAAGCACTGCTTGGGGAATGTACACAGCTGTGTTAGGGCCGCCGTTTACCACCAAGTGGTGGACAAGCATAACATGGTATGGTGGACATGTTTGTGGCCCCGATCTTGCACCCGCCCCCCACCGCCTGCGCCAGTGGCGCGTCGAAGTTCAGCAGACCCACCTGCCATGTGCCCCTCGCCAGGCCGTCCGGCACCCGGCAGCGGACCAGCCTGGCGCCTGGGAAGCTGCCGCCGATGTCGGGGGTGTTGTCCTCGGCTGCCACGTCGAGAGGACGCTGGGGCTCGGTCATGTGGTCGCTGTCGAAGCGTGGGCAGGCCGACACAGTGGTCCCGGCCAACACGCTCCCGTTGCCGCCGTGGCTGCCGTTCGAGGTCCCGTTGCCGACGATGCGCGCCTCGACATGACACCCAGTCCCGAGCCGCCGCCTGTCGTCCAGCAGCAGGGCATTCTGGCCATAGGCACGGAACTGGCAGCGCACGGTAGCCTCTTGCACATACAGCGCACGGACGTCGATTGCCGTGCCCGCATACACCTGTAGAAGAACAGAAGCACTGCACCAACATAAACTCTCGGAGGTCCACTGGGATTTCTTATAGATCGGCGCTGGACTCCCCTCGCTGGCACGCGGAGCGCCAGAGGCGGCGCCGCAGGCGCCGCCAGGGAATTCCAGCGCAGACCCAGAACATCCGCGCGGAACGCCGAAATTTAGTGGCGCAGTTTTTCTTCTTCGAGCCTTGCTGTTTTCGCCTGGGGTCACCTCTCGGCTACACGCAAGAGGCACCCTGGGTGAGAGTGACCTCTGGTGCGCAGCTTTTGGGGGGGCCGCGGGGGGCCTGAACCTGGGCGCGCAAGCCGCTGCCACCGCTTCGCACTCAGCCATCTGGGGGCCATCTGGGGGCCCATCTGGGTCACTCTGGCGAAGGGTCACTCTTACGTGTATTGAAAGCGCACCAGGGGGTGGAGGGAGGGGGAGGGCTTCTTAGAAGGAGGCTGCTTCTTAGAAGGCGCCGGCCTTACATCTATAGATAAGGCCCGCGCCTTCTAAGAAGCAGGGGTGCCTCTGAGAAGCCCTCCCCCCTCCCCCCACCCCCCTCTGCGCGTGGCGGAGTGTAGTCGAACCTCAACAACGACGGCGTCAGGCACCAGCTTCAGCAGGGGCCTGCGCACCGTGAAGAAGCTCTTGCCGCCGATGGTCGACAGGCGCAACCGCGCCACCAGCTCGGCGCCGCCGGACCCCAGGGCCCCGCCAGGCGGCACCGGCGAAAGGCAGGTGACCATGTGCAGACTCGACCGGCAGATGCCCATCGGCGCCAAGGAGCAATCGAACAGGCGCGCAGGCTCTGCCGATGTCTCGAGGAGACTGTCCAGCGCCCCCGTGGAGTCCCGCGAGAGCACCTCCCACTGGCAGTAGATCACGCTGCTCAGCCACGACGGCGCACCCGCACTCGCGGCCTCGGCGGGAAGCGAGCCGTCCAGCACGATCGGTACTCTGCGCGTCCAGCTGGCCAAGGTGGGCTGGAAGCGCGTCATGACAGGAACCTGGAGCACCGAGACGCCAGGCTGGCGCCCGCTGCGGCCCCGCGCGAGGGCGCCGTAGCCCCGGAAGCGAAGCCGCACGCCGTGGAAGCCGAACACGGCGACCTCGGGCAGGTCGCATACAGCCAGGGAGTCGTTCACCAGCAACGCGGCCACCTCGTGGCGCCAGTGCGCGAAACTGAAGACGCAAGCCGTCTGCAGGTCCGGCGGAAAGGAGGCGCCGTAGACGTGCAGCTTCGCACCAGACTCGGCGTACACCACGTCTGGATGCACTGCGTAGACGACGGGCGCGTCCGAGATGGCCACGTGGACCTCGCTCTGGTGCGAGGGCCCCTCGAGGGACGCCGCCAGAGAGCCGCTGCGGAAGATGCTGGGCAGCATCCGGGAGAAGGCGTCGCTGCCATTGCTCTGCGTGGCCAGCTCGCTGCGAAAGGAGCAGCTTGTCACGTTGTGCCTGACGTCCACCACGGAGCCCTCGTGGTCGCCGAGCCAGCACCTGGGGTGCGCATGACCGGTGGCGCCGATCCTCTGCGTGAAGTGGCTGCCGACGAAGTGAACTTGGGCGCAGTGCTCGCAGAAGGCGTCCGGTGCAACCAGCGCTGGACGAGCGTCGAACAGCGTGGGCGCTGCAACCACTTCCACTGGCACTGGAGGCACGGACCACCGCGTACCCCCGTCGAACGAGACCTGTAGTCCGCAGGTCGAAGAGCCTCGCATCCCAGCGCGCAGGGAGCGCGCCGCCGGTAAAGTGCACGTGGCGCCCGCCGAACCCTCGATGAAGGTGCCGCTGCCTCCTTCTGCGCCCTCCGCGAAGTCCACGGCCGAGCACCCGCTGAGTCGGCACACAGGCGTCAAGCCTCCGCTCAGCGGGCCCGCCACCAAGGCCAGCTCGGCAGTCGCTGCGGGCTGGCCCACCACCAGGGCCACTGGCGACGCCTGGGCAACCGTGTTGCTGGGCAAGACCTTGACCTCCAGACCGCCTGCCGTCAAAGTCATGGCTGTATGCTCATCTGGGCTCAGTGTCAGTGCGAGCGACAGATCGAGGTTGGGCGGGAAGCCGCCAGCGGGGGCTCGGCACAGCCAGGTGAGGAACCCAGGGGTGTGTCGGGACGTCACTATTGTCCTGTTCTGAGCGGGAGTCCCCGCGGCCTCGAGCGGCAGGACGTTCACCTTCGGGCTGCTGGCCAACCTCAGAACGGCGGCCGTCGGCGACGCCACCCCCGGCACGCCAAAGTCGCACCACACGGGCGAAGCGTGCCGCAGCGCCTCGAAGTGGAAGTGCGTGTCCACTGCGGCTGTGATGCTGAAGGAGGCCTCGCTGAAAGGCGGCACAACCGAGGGCGAGCTCTGGATCGAGACCTGCTCCACGAACTGCACTGGCACTGTGTTGGACCACGTCGAGCCATCCAGCGAGAGCGAGAGGTAGGCGCGGTGGTTGGGCAGGGCCTCGTGCTGCGGCAGTAGGCAGACGACCTCCGAGCTGCTCACGACGACCGCGCGCAGGTTCGCCTGGTCCTCCAAGCCCCGCATCGCCCACGACAGCCGGCACCTTTTCTCACGACTCACGCCAGCTGCACCGAGGAAGCCCTGATCGGTACGCACCCTGATGCGAAGCTGCTGCGGCACGGAGGCGTCCACGAGGTCGACCCGGCTCAAGGCGATCGCCGTGGTGCCGACGCCCTCGATCTGCAACGAAGGCACCAAGTGGATCACTGGTAACTCGGCCACCTCAGTGTGATACGCGGTGCTAGCCTTCGCTGCGAGGAAGGTCCTCACAGAACGGGCAAGCATGGGGCCCTGCTCCGTCAGGGACAGCGACGGTAGCGAGCAGAGCACCTCGCCATCCGACACGAACGTCGCCTCCACAACCACAACGGCCCCTGGCCAGCCATAACCTGTCTCGTTGGTGCAGTGATCGGGACGCCCGTCTGTCCACTCGTAGACACCGAAGTCCTGCTCCACGGACCAGCAGGTGTCCTGCATCAGAAGTCGCCGCATGTGCGCCTGGTGCTCCGACCACACACTGAAGTCGAAGCCCGCGGCGCCGCGAGAACCACTGTCGTCGAACACGATACACGCCAGGGAGACGTTGTCGGAGTGCGGGAAGTTCTGCCCATCGATTGTAAGAGTCAGAGGCAGCCCTGCTGGCCATATCTGCGGCGACGCCTTGAAAACACGAGGTCGAGCCAGCATCAGCACCTCGCCGACGTAGTTCACTGTCCGTTTTCTGTCCACGGAGAGAGAGACATTCACCGCCGCCCCGGCAAACTCTGCAGCCAGCGCAGGGCAGGGGCACAGCACCCGGACGGCGGAGCCCCCCCACGAGAACACGGTGGCCTGCATCTCGAAGTAGGCCACAGACGGGCTGTCCGCTGTGAAGAGGCAGCTGACACCTGGGAGGACGGCAACTTGAGCGACGAAAAAAGGCCCTGGGCGGGAAAGTATCGCGACCTTACGCCGCGGCTTCCGCGGACCGCCAGCGTGGAACACCGCGCGGAGAAGCGGGAGCTCACGCGCGGCCTCACGCGGGAAGCCTACGCGCGAACGTCGGCGCGCTCTTCCCCGTTCCCTGCCGCCGCCAAACTACACACCAGACTTGTCCTGGCCGGGCCAATCCTTGGCCCAGAACTTGTGTAGTTCCCCCTCCTGGCTTGGCCAGGAAGCCGCATGCACTCGACTACACGCAAGGGTGTCGGGTCGGGCGAAAGGGGGGGATAGCAAAGGGGGGGTTTGAGAATCAGCTCACGTAGCTGATTTTCCCGGCGCCTCCCGGCGCCGGAGGCGCCCATGTATCGAGGAATGGGCCCCTCGGTGAGGCCGGAACCAGCTGCATGCAGCAAATTTCGTAACCCCCCCTTTCCCAATCCCCCCCTTTCGCCCGACCCGAGAGTGACCCGATGTAGGCAAGAGTGACCTCTGGTGCGCGGCTGCACGAGGCCGCGGGCAGGCCAAATCCACGCGAGCAGGCAAGTGCGGGGGGGACCCCTGTGTCGGGGATGGACAGACCTCCCTTTAGTAAAACGTGGTTTAGTGAAAACGCCCTTGAACCCAAACCTGGCAGACGCAACCCTGGAAAATAACGCCCTCGGCGCCCTCTCGAAAACCGAAAACGGACAATTCACTAATCGACGTGTCACTACTGGGGGTTCTGTCCTCCCCCGACTGTGAGCCCGCACCAAAGGTCACTCCGGCGAAGGGCGCATCCGATGTACGCATCGCGGGCCAAGGGCTGCCCTGACCGGGATCGGCGTTGCTGAACGGCTGGCAGCCCCGAGGCACCACTCAGGTACGAGGCCCACGGCAGCAGGTCTACCGACAGCGCCTGGAGCACGACGCTGTCGCCTTCCTCATCCGTGAAGCAGAAGCTCTCCTCGCTGACAGCGAACGTCCAGTTGGGCAGGAAGGTTATGTTCACGTAGGTGCCCGACAGCTCGTACTCATTGGCGGCGATGTAGAGCGGGAAGCGGCCCGCGGCGTACACGGGCGTCGTGCACTGGAGCATGGTGCTGTTCACGAAGATCGCCGGGACGTGAGACAGACCACCGAACGCGCACGACAGGTCTGCCTCCTGCACTCCGAGGGCATCGATGCACCACCGCCCTGCCTGGCCTGGTCATCCTAGGCCCTGGCATGGTGCATACGCCGTTATGGCCGAGGCCAGGAGGGTCTGTACACCATCGTAGGGCTCAGGATGGCCCTGGCCAGGCATGGTGGTGGTGTGTAGCTGCCCTCGGCGGGTCCTGCGTGAAGCCAGCGCCACGGATCGTGAGCCAAGTGCCACCAGACATGGGGGCAGACTCGGGCTCGACGGACGAGATGCCGTGCAGGGGCAGCAGCCGCAATGAGAAAGCCTCGGAGCCCAGCGACTGGGGAGTACCGCCGCCGTCCTGTGCGGCCGACCTGACGGACACGAGGACGTAGCCCTGCAGAGGCAGAGCATAGATCGCTGCCGCGGGCAGAGCGTTACACTCCCTGGTGGCAATCTCAATCTGAAGGTGCAGCGCGTCACGCTCCTCCATCAAAGCTTCCTCCCTCTGCACAAGGTCTGCGTCTGCACACACCGAGCACGCGGCCGTGCCAGTAGTGTCGTTCGCGTCGGAGCCGTTGGTCTCATTCTCGTCGCCTAAGTCAACGAAAATGCGATGCGAGGACAATCGCTCTAGCACAAGCAGGTTCAGCTGCTGGATCACCTCGGTCAGCTGGTCTTCTAGGGCGGTGCGCAGCGCGCAAGGGCCCTGCTCGGGCTCCTGGTAGGCCGTCAGCTCGGCATCCGCTGGAGGCAGGCGTGGCGGGGTACATTCCACCAAAGTCGATGAAATGAATCGCGTCAGCGGCAGCCGCAACACCTCGGTCATGGACGCGGACTGGAAGAAGCACTCGTCGGTGGTGTCGAAATTGTCGCCATGGATCGACAGGACAGGTCGGGTCGACTCGACCCTGGCCGGCTCGCCGATGGAGATGGCGGCCGGCGTCACGTTCCGGATGGCGGGTGTCTCCATGAGCCAGATCGACAGCCCCGTGTCGACGGGAGCCGAGTCGCCAAAGGCTACGTGTAGGCTCAGGTTGCGGCCGATGCGCGCCCGTGGGCTTCTGAAGCGCAGCGCGCGGCTGCTCACGCGGACGGCGCGGCGCGCGAAGCCCGGGCGGAGCTCAACGCTGATGGAAAGGCCGTCCGCGGCCGGGAAGCCGAAGCCGCTGAGCGTGATCCAGCGCGGCGTGGAGATCGTGGTGGTCGTTGGGCTGACACCTGTGAACACTGGCTGCTCGTAGAGGGCCACGTAGCGGGGTGCAAGAAACCACTGCGCTCCGTTGGGCGACAGCTCCACCCGCAGAGGATGCAGGCTCGGCAGCACGTGGCTTCGGTTGAGGGGCCCGCACTGCGCCACCTGCGGGGCAGGCCAGATCAGCGGCAGGTAGAACTGCACCGCCGAGGGCGCGGTGGACGTCACGCGGCAGGCAGCTGACGGGGAGACCCTCATAGCGGACACGCCAGCACTGTCTACGAGCCCCATCGTCATGACAAAGTCGGGGACCACGGCCAGCTGGCTCCCGTCCAGCTCGGACGCCTTGGGAAGGAAGTGGAGCGCGGTCGACGCGTAGAGCGACGCCGCGGTCTCCAGCGTTGCGATGCCCACCGAGGGCGAGAGGCTCTGGATGCGCGGCGCAGGCGTGACTGTGATGGGCCGCGAGTCGCCGGCCAGCTCGATCCAGTCGGTGGAGGCCAAGCGGACTTCCAGCCGCATCGGCTCCGTGGGGAACAGCGGGCCAGAAAGGAGGCCGTCCCCACGCGCGAAGAACTCGACGTCGCCGCCAATGCTGCACGTGAGCTGCTCCTGGCTGACCAGCGCTGCCGGCAAGGGCACGGACTCGAAGCGCGAGGAGACCAGGCGACACTGGAGGCCGCCGGAGCTCGCCGCCGGCCCTGCGGCCCTCTCGGCGGCCAGCCCCCACAGCCGCAGGCGCCCGTCCGAGCCGGCCGTGAGGAGCTGGCCCGCCCGAGGGACACCGATGGGGACGAGGCCGATGCCGCTGACCGCGGCCACCAGGTCCCCGGTGTCGTGCGCGAAGGCGCGCACCGTGCCGTCCGGGCTGCCCAGGAACAGCGACCCGTCCGCGCCGAACGCCGCGGATGTCGCAGCGGGGGCGCTCGGGCCGCGGAGCCAGCGCCGCAGGGAGCCGTTCCACCCGGGAGCTCCGAGGCCGCGCCGCAGCGCCAGAAGCTGCGGCTCGCGGCCACTCGAGGCCACCAGCAGCTCCGGGGGCGCCCCATTCAGTCTGCCCACGGCGAAGGCCAGCACCTCGCTGGCGAGGGCCGAGCCCAAGGCCTCGTCCCCGAGGCTCCACAGCCGCAGGACACCGTCGCTGCCCAGGACCGCAGCGGCGCCCTCGCCCGGGACTCCTTGCACCTGGCGGAGCGTCGTGTTGCCCTCGAGGGTGGCGTTGCCCAGCAGGTCCGCGGCGAGCAGGCCCAAAGACACGTTGCCGTCGCCCGAAGCGTTCTCCTGCGACGCGGCGGAGCCGTTGGCAGCGGCCGAGGCGTTCTCATCTGCCCAGGATGACTCGTTGGGGCCCAGGTCCCCTACGGGAATGCTGTACACGAGCACCTCTGGGAAAACCACAAAAAATGCGGATGCGGCCACTCCCCGGGGCCCATCCCCGGGGTGCGTTCTGACCAGCACTTCGAAGCGAATCCAGCCGTGGCGACGAGGACCCCCCAGGAAGCCCAGGAAAGGGGAAACGAGGCAAGGGTAGCGGTATCGGTACCGCTTCCTCCTCGGAACCTCGCGGCCAGCGCGGGTCAATCCAAACCTGGCTCAGTCAGGCCTTGCAGGATCCTGCAAGGTCCCGCAGGGTCCTGCAGGATCCTGCACGCTAACCCGGCTCAGTGCAACCCTGGCTCTGCAGGAAATTGCAAGATCCAGCGCTCTGACTGACCCCCGTTTGCACTGACCCCTGTCCCAAGGCCCCTAAAACGAGGGAAGGGCAGCGGTAGTGGTACCGTCCCTGAGATCCGACGTTGCGAAAAAATTGCAACATCGTAGAAAGTCACGCCCGAAGCCCTAGACCTCATCTCTCTGCATTATTTTTCGAGCCGGACCGATCTGTGAGGGCCCAAGAGGCCGAAACAAGGCGAGAACGCCCGGCTCGAAAAAATTGAGTCCTTGGGGAAACCGCAAGGTACCGATACCGCGATTCCCTGGACCGTTCCTGGGGTGCGCTCTGACCAACAACTTGAGGCAACGCCAGCGGTGGCGACGAGGGCCCCCCAGGAGGCCCCAAACGGGGACAACGAGGGAAGGGTAGTGGCATCGGCACCTTGTCTTAAGTCGGGAATGTTCCTCTACAGGAGGAATATGCAAAAATAGACACAATGTAGTCCGGGGACGATCTCTTCAATGATCCTTGGACAAATTGAGATTAAATCTTGAATCTGTTTTATGTTTCGTCCAAAACCTGTCCTGGTCTGAATGTCAGGGCTCCCCTCAGGTCGGGCACGTCCCCCTTACAGGCGGATTTTAGACGACAGATTTTAAACCACAGATTCAAAAAATCCTCCCCACACTATGGTTTAATTATTCTTCCTCCTGTAGAGGGACAGGCCCGACTTGAGGCTTCCCTCTGCGACGACGAGAAGGGCGAATAGCCCAGGGGCGGGCATTACACGCATTCGCCGCGGGAGCCTTTTCCAAGTCACAGATCATCGGCGCACCTGGATACCTGTCTTGCTCTCCCCTGGGCTGTTCGCCCCCCTCCTCGCCCTCTCATCCCCTCCTCGGAGCCTCGCGCCCGACGCCGAGCGCGGCCAGGAGCTGCCCCTGCGGGCCCCGCCAGAGCGCCGCGGCAACCGGCCCGGCGCCGACCGGCGAGGCGAGGGCGCAGAGCGGGGAGCCGCCCGCGGCCTCCCAGAGCAGCGCCGGCTGCCCGCCTCCTGTGCGGAGGAGCCTCCTCCTCCTCCTCCTCCTCCTCCTCCTCCTCCTCCTCCTCCTCCTCCTCCTCCTCCTCCTCCTCCTCCCCTCCTCCCTCCTCCTCCTCCTCCTCCTCCTCCTCCTCCTCCTCCTCCTCCCTCCTCCTCCCTCCTCCCCTCCTCCTCCCCCTCCTCCTCTCCTCCTCCTCCTCCTCCTCCTCCTCCTCCTCACTCCTCCTCCTCCTCTCCCCTCTCCCTCCTCCCCTCCTCCTCCTCCTCCTCCTGCTCCTCTCCTCCTCCTCCTCCTCCTCATCCTCCTCCTCCTCCTCCTCCTCCTCCTCCTCCTCCTCAAAGCATCTGTTAGCGCCAACGTGTGTTTGCCCTTTGAGGCCCTTCAACACGACGCAGGCGATGTAATGATCTGCCAGTGGAGCTGAACGGTGTAAACACACACACACACACACACACACACACACACACTGGGCTAACACACGTCGTCAGGATCATCGACGGGGGGACACGCAGACAGATGGACACAACTCCCAGGATCCCCCCGCAAGGTTGTCCCTACATTCCCAAATCCTACAAGTTGTTATCCCACCATGTTTCCAGGCTTATCTAGTGCTCCCCGTATCCCTAAAATCCCAAGATCCACTAATATTTTTCCAGTTGGATCCCACACATTCCAAATCCGTCTTCTCCGTCCCCCTCTCCTCCGCCCCACTCTCCTCCTCCCTCCCATTCCTGAACTTTTTGAATATTGTCATCGTCGCTGTCTTCGTCGTCGTGCCCCTTCAGGGTCGGCGGCACCAGCCGTAAGGCCTTCGCAATCCGTCTTCCCCCCCCCCACTTCCCATATGCTAGATATTCCCATCTATATATATATATATATATATATATATGTATACATATATATACATATATATATATGTCTGAATCTACACACACACACACACATACACGCACCTGGGAATCGACGATGCTTTGTGTCTGTGCGATTTTGTCCCTCCTGATCCTGGCACGCCCAGCACGAACCCTTCCAGGGCTGCCAGCGCCGCCACGCCCTCGGCGAGGTGGCGCAGCAGCAGGGGCGGCTGGCTGCCGCTCAGCCTCCGGACAGCGACGAGCGCGCCAGAGGCATGGGCGTAGAAGCCGTCGCCCAGCGCAGTCGGAGAGGCCTCGTCGCCACCGGGCAGCACCGCCAGGATCGAGCTGGGCAGTCCGTTGCGAGGCCGAGGCAGCGACGAAGTGGGCTCCCCGGCGAAGCGGAACAGGCCCGTCGCTGTGAGCACTATCGCCTCGCCCTTCACCACGATGTCGGGGGCGATATCGACGACCGTCGGCGCTTCCCGGAACGTCAGGCGCAGAGACGTGTTACTCCAAAGTATGCCTCCGTCGACGGAGATCTCCACCCAGCCCGCATCACCCTCGGTGCTCGGCGAAGTAAGCGGCGGCAGCGGCGGCCGGAACGAGAGCGAGGAGCCGTCGTGGACCACCAGCGCCGTGGCCAGCCGCTGCCCGCCCAGTCGCAACCGCAGTCCCGCGCAGCAGTCCAGGCCGACGCCCTGGACCTCGACGCGAGGCGGCGGCCAACTGGCAACGATCACCTGGGGATGGGCGCGCCGCAGGACTGGCAGCGTCACGACGCGCAGAGGGACCGCGGGGCCCGCAAACTGCTGGCAGTTCGGCGAGTACGCCACCAGGATGCTGCGGCCCACGAAGGCAGACACCTCCTCTGGCAGCTCGCATCTCATGCGGAAGAGCCCCTCCGAGGTCGCGGCCGCCGTCCAGACGCCCGCTGACGACAGATTGGCCGCCCGCGCCGCCGCGCTACCTGGGGCTGCGGCGGTGGCGAAGCGGCAGCAAGAGCCCGCCGAGGCCGACAGTGCAGCGCCCACAACGCTGATGGGCTGTAGCGGCAGATTGGGCACCACCGCCACAACCTGCGGTTCAACACGGGCGATCTGTGGTGCGCGCACGAGCTGCAGCGCGGCCACGTCGGACAGCTTCTGCGGCACCGCCGCAAGCGAGACGAGGTCGACCTGCAGTGCCGATCTGGCGTCGAACTCTGCCCCGCTGCCGACCAAGGGGCTGGGAGCTGTGCTGGCGCCTAGCCGAAACCACAGCCGCTGCGCATCCTCGCACGCCAGCCGGCCGGGCCTCACCAGCCGCACCGGCGTCACGACATCCTGGGCGACCTGCTGGCCCACGTGCTGGAACGACGCTGGGTAGCGGAGCCGGCAGGCCACCATGCTCGCGATCTGCGCACTGGCCCAGAGTGAGTCGTCCTCGGCCTCCACGTCAAGTTCGATCGTTGCCGCATCGGAGGGTGCGGCACCCAGCACCAGGCAGGCTGGGGCCGCCACGCGGATCGCCACGAGAGGCAGCACGGACAGGCTCAGCGGCTGGCTCAGGATCAGATTGGCCGCGCCCGACGTGGCGACGCCGAGGGCCGTGTCCTGCAGGTTCTCAGGCGCCGGGAGCTCGCCCTGCGTCACGGCCACGTGCACCGCGGACGCCGGGGCGCTGGCCAGCGCGAGCGGCGAGGTGCAGAGAGCCAGAGAGCTGTTGACCACCTGAGCGCGCGACACGAGGGTGCAGGTGGAGCCGTCCCTGCCAGGCTGGCAGCCCCAGCCCTGCGCCGAGAAGACGCACGAGAGGGCGGCGCCCGGCTCGAAGCCGCGGCCGTGGACCAGCAGGTGGCAGAGCTGCTGCTCCGCGCAGGCCGCCGGCAGCGGGCGGGGCCCCGCCACGGGCGCCCGGAGCCGCAGGGAGCGGTTCGTCCGCACCCAGATCTGGCTCCGCAGGTGCAGCCACAGCTCCAGCGGCTCCTCCTGGCGTGTGGTCCACGGCGCGACGTCCTCCGAGGAAGAAAAAAAAAGTCTGCGCGGGCACCCCCTCTCAGAGCTCCGCGCGGACTCTCTGCACCTATACGCTGATCCCCCCCTCCCCCGGCGCGCGGAGCGCGCCAGGGGCGGCGACGCCGGGGGCCCAGTGCCGATCCAAGAGACAGCGTGGCGCTACGACACTTTGCAGTCAACCCGTATACGATTAGGACGCACGAGGAGCATGCAGGAGCCTTGGAGGCCATCTCGACACTCTGCGAGCGGGGCGCGGCCAGCGAAAGCGGCCAAGGATGGGCGCGAAGGAGGAGGATGCGAGGGTAACCTTGCAAAGTTGCTCATCCTCACTATGCGGGTTGACTGTACGGCAGATTCGCGTCATGACTACCTGGACGTGGGTTCCTGGCACCGCGGGGATCGTTCAACCTTGAACGATCGGACGTGTCCGAAACGTCAAATCCGTTCAGCATCGACCGGTTCTGGAGCACCCGCAGCGCTCAACGTTACTGAACGCCAGCGGCAGGGTTGCCGCCGGTCGACACGACGCGAACCTACCGCATGCTTCTGCCACTTGCTCCAGGAAGACAATCCTCGGGTTGGAGGATCGGGTTGGGAAGATACGGGGCGCGACTGTGCAATTCGCATACACGAAGCACACGATAGTACGGATGACCTGATCATCGCTCCCAATCCCAGCCTCCCAACCCGATAGTTGCCTTTCTGATTGTTCCGACTTGGGCTCTCGGTCCTGGAGCCCGGACGCCGGCAGCCACTCGCACAGTACGTGCAGGGTGCCGGACACGCCGGAGTGGCCCGCCGACAGGTGCCTGGCGCGGCCGTCCGCGGAGCGGGGCGCGCCCGCCAACCCCGTGGCTGCCACCGGCAGCGCCAGGCGGCAGCCGTCCACGAAGGCGCCCAGGCGCTCGGGGGGGAGGGCCTTGGAGGGCAAAAAATCCACCCCCCCATAATCAGCACCCCGACGAGCGAGGCCATTGTTCAGCAAACGCGCCCGAGGAAGGAGTGGACGAGGGAGGGGCTGTTTCGTCAACGCCCAGGGCCGTTCAGTAAAAGCCAGTGGTCGGGGTCTGGGTGCTTTGTCCTCCCTGGAGGCCTCCCAGCCAGACAGCGACACGCGCAGTCGCAGCAGGGGCGGCGGCGCGCCGACGGCGTCCGCGGCGCGGCGGCGCGCCGAGGCCCCCGTGCCAGCGGCGGAGCGTCGGCGGCCGTGGAGCAGCATGAGCTCGGCGGAGTCCAGGTGGAAGTCGGCCACGGACTGGGCGTAGACCGTGGGCATCGGGACCTGCGTGGAGGGAGCCCACAAAGGACGTACGCGCCCAGCTATGTACATGAACGCGGCCCCTCGATCCGCGAGACCGGCCGCGTTATACGAACAGTTGCGCAATGCGTACTCTCGAAACCAGCGTGGATTCATGTACGTGTACGTCCTTTTGTCGCTCCTGAGCGTGGAGCACCCGAATTCTGGGTCCGGCGCAGACGGGTCCGCGGGGAGAGGTGCAGCAGCATAGTTATACAGTAAGGGGGGCCCGGGTGCAGCAGCTTTGCGCGCTGGATGCAAGAGCTGCGCGCGGATGCAACTGCGCAGCTTCTCTCCACATGCAATAGTAGTTCCCCGTGCAGCCCCACACACACACACACACACACACACACACACACACACACACACACACACACACACACACACACACACGCACACACAGTAGTTGCATAGTATTGGACGCAACATTGCACAACGAATGAACGATTGCACCTCTCACCGCCGACCCATCTGCACCAGACCCACTACACCAGCTTAGACCTGCACCAGCGGCAGCGTGGCCTGAGAGATCGGCCGGTAGCCCCAGCCGAGGCTGCCGCGATCTGCGCCGCTGCACCGCAGCAGGGCCTCCGCGAGGGGCGGCAGGTGCGGCGTGCTGCCGCTGGCCCTCGCGCCGACGCGGCAGCGCAGGCGACGCACGAAGCCTCGGAGGGCCGTCGTCAGCTCCGCCTCGCACGGGAAGAGCGCCTCGGAACTCGCGGCCAGGGCCACGGAGCAGGGCAGCGCCGACTCTGGGAGCAGCCCAGAGGAGCCCCAGGAGAGCGTAACGGCCTGATCGTCCTGCGCGCCGCTGACGAACATCAGCGTCGACTCCGCCCCGTCCAGGGAGGCCCGCGCGTACAGCGTGAAGCGGCCGACCACGGTCGCGCCCGGCCCTTGCAGCGAGGCCGGGCGCGCCGCGTCTGGGCAGGACCCGCGGCCAGAGCAGAGGGTTAACACGGCGGGGGCGGTGTGCGAGACGGGGTCCTCGGAGCCGACGCGGTCTGGCATGTGGGGCGTCTGCACCGCGCACAGCAGCAGGGTGGAGTTGACTCGGGTGGCGCGGACCGGCAGCGAGGAGGCCGCCGCGTCGCTCAGCTCGCGGGCCGCGGCCGCCTCGGGCTGCAGCACCACCTGGAGGCGGCAGTGGTGCGCCGCGGCGGCGCTGAAGAAGGCGCCTCTGACGGCGAAGTGGACGACGCTGCCGGCTGGCACCGCCCCGGCGGGCTCCGAGGAGAGCGGGCCGACCACCGGCCGGAAGACGTGCACGCTGGTGGAGGACAGGTGGGCGCCGCGCTCGCAGCCCAGGTCGGGCTTCCGCGTCTCGAGCGGCAGCACGCCCTGGCGCTCCTGCAGCAGGAACGGCGGCGCGAGGAGCAGCGACACGCTGAGGCTGGACTCGAGCCCGATGCCAGCGGAGGAGAAAGGGCACTTGAGTGCAGAGACCGACTCCGCGAAGCACAGGCGGCACTCGGGCACATCGCTCGCGTCGTGCGTGATGTGCGCAAAGATCGTGGCGTTCGACCCGAAGCCCCAGCCGGAGAAGCGCACGAAGGCGAGCTCCGACTCGCCTTCGGGCGGGATGGGATGGGACACCTTGGCGGCGCGCACACGGAAGCGGGGCGAGGGGAAGGGCCTTCCAAGAAGGCAGAGGCGGCCTTTCCATTATCCTCTGAACGTGTGTCGGCGCAAACGTGTACTTATCCAACGAAGCCCTTCAATACGAAGCAGATGGTGCAACGAGGGCCGACACAGGCTGCGTGCCATCGGTGGAGCTGAGCGGGATAAGCACACACTAGGCGAATGCGTGTCCCGAGGGCCATCGAGCCTTCTCAGGAGCCCCGACGCCGCTGAGCAGCGTGCTGACTAGCCCCGCGACCGCTCCTGAGAGGCTCCCCTGCCTTCTTGTGCAGGGCCACCCCCCTCCGCCCACCCCACTTCTGCGCGCCGCCGAGCACCGGCGACGGACCGAAGACCCTAACGTTGCCGAACACCCGCACCACGACGCCGGTGGCGAGGAGCCCCCCCGGCTGCGGCGGCGGGCGCGGCCCGAGGGCGGGAGCCTGCAGCGAGAAGTAGAGCTGGAAGGTGGCTTGCGAGGCCGCGCTGCTGTGGAAGCTCCTGGCCATCACTTCACCGATCCCTGTCCCCGGTGGCGCGGCTTGCTTGTGCCCCATCGGAGTTCCGCGGGGCCTGTCCCACCTAAGAGGGTGGGCTGGTAGGGCTGAGATACCATGACTCGATGGAGGGGAAGATCGGTTCAGCGATGCAACTACAAAATGAAAACATATGTTAGCCAGCGCAGCCTCCGAACAGTGGATTCTAGCAAACGACGTGTTGCAATATGTGGTGCAAGCTATGTTGTGCCCGCTAAGTAATGCAAACTATGTGGTGCAAGCTATACAGAGCAACCCTCGTGGTGCGACCGATGCGGCGAAATCGATGTGACACCATTGAATGTGCGATGTGAGCTACATGATGCAAGCTACATACGGCAATATGTGTGCTGTAATACATGTGGTGTGGGCTACGTGTTGCAATGTATAAAGAGTAAACTATGTGGTGCCATATATGCGGTGCCGTCTACGTGGTGCAATCCACTTTGACTGTCTTGAAGCTGTCCTTTCCATTGCTCGTGCAAACATCCCACCCACCCACCCGCAACTTGGTCTGCAAAACCTCTTAAGACCGACTACGACGACACCGACGACAACGACTAGGACGACACCGACGACGTCTCCGACGACTTCGACGACGACAACGACGCCGACGCCGACGAAGACGAAGACGACGACGACGACGCCAACGAAGGCGACGACGAGGGAGGAAAGGACGACGACGGCGACAACGACGACAACGACGACAACGACGAGGGAGGAGGGAGGACGGCGACGACGCGAACGACGACGAAGGAGGAAGGACGGCGACGCCGACGACGACAACGACGAGGGAGGAGGAAGACGACGACGACAACGACGACGACGACGGCGACGAAATAGGAGGGACGACGACGAGACGCCGACGACGGACGACGACGACGACGAGGGAGGAGGAGGAAGGACGACCACGGCGACAACGACGACGGAAACGACCACGACGCCAAAGAGGACGACGACGACGAACACGAGGAAAGACAGAGGACGACGTGGGCGACGACGACGACGACGACGACGCGGGAGGAGGGAGGACGGCGACGACGACGACGACGACGCAAGAGCGCGCGCGCACGCTTTTGTTGAAAATCCGTGTTGCGAAACCTTGTGTTTGTAGGTTTTTTGGACGAGCGATTTCGAAATCCTTCCGAAACAGATGGGTTTTGAAGGATTTCGGCGTACGCGCGCGACGACGCGCGCGTCTGCACTTCGTCCCATTTGTTGCAGAGGATTCTCGCGACGACACACGAGCAAGGGCGTTCGACAGATTCCGACATGCGCGCGCGAAGCCCGTTTGGTAGCATTTTGTGAAAATCTTGCGAAACCCATGGTTTTCTTCAGATTTCGCAAGAGCTCGCGCGGAAGCTTTTTTAGCAAATCAGGGTTGCGAAACCCTGTGTTTTGTATGTTTTTTGGAAACTCGATTGCGAAATCCTTCCGGCACCGAAGGTTTTTGAAGGATTCCGGCATGCGCGCGCGACGACGCGCGCGTGTGCACTTCGTCCCATTTTCTGCAAAGGATTCTTGAAAAAGTGCTATGTTAGAACAAAAAATGTCACCGCATAGTGTTTTTTACAAGGGAACCGCAGGGGGGGGATACCGGCTTGGCTGGGATGGTACGAATTCACATTTAGGATGGACATGTGGTCAGAATCATATGTGATTTACAGCACGCGCGGGGGAGTCGATAAGTCCGAGGGGGGGGGGAGAATCTATTACTCTTTTAGAAAGGAGAATGTATGTGGTGTAAACTACGTCGTGCAAAAACTGACGTGCAAACGATGTGGTGCAATTGATTTTCACAAGCGGGTTAACACATTCCGCGCCCTTGCAAACAACCCACCCACCCAATCGCAACTTGGTGTGCTAAACCCATGCGGCGACCGTTGGCGTTGGTTGGTGCATTTATGCGGCCCGCGGTATCATGGCAACGTCGACACTTGTAGACACGATGATGATAATAGCGATGCTGGCGACGATGCTGACAGCGACGACGGCTCAGCCAGTGACGGCGCTGATGCTGATCACGCCGACGACGATGACGGCGTCCTCGCGTCGGTGATGAAGGTTTTGGAAAGAATTCGATATGCACGCGCGGCCGACGCGCGCGATTGGCCCGCGTGGTATTATTTGAAACGGATCGTGCCCCCCAGCACGCGCGCAAGGGCGTTCGAATGATTTCGGCATGCGGCGCGAGAGGCCCGTTTGGCAGAATGCCGTACAAATGTTGAAAAGTGTTGTGGCAAAGCCATATGTTTCTATATGGTTTAGGGACACTCGGTTTTGAAATCCTTGTGAAACTAAAGGATTTTTGCTCTAAAGATTTCAGCATGCGCGTACGACGACGCGCGCGCGTGTGCACTTCGTCTCCTATGTTGCAATGGATTCTCGCGACAGCACGCACGCAAAGGCGTTCGAAAAAGTTCGACATGCGCGCGCGAAGCCCCTTCGGAAGCATTTCCTGGGAATGTTGAAACCCCGATGGCGTTCTTAAGAATTCGCAATAGCGCGCGAGCTTTTTTTGAAAACCCGTGTTTCGAGACCATGTGTTTTTTTATTTGATTTTGGATCACTCGATCTTGAAAACACTACGAAACCTATCTTCGTCCCATCTGTTGCAAGGGCTTCTTGGAAATTGATGGTTGTTGATAATCAAGTGCGCGCGCAGAGCATTCTTTGCAAAGGATGGCGGGGGGGTCGATACCGGCTGAGTTGGGATGGTACTGATTCAAACTCAACATGGACAAGGGGGCATAATCATTTGCAAACTATGCATCGCGAAGGGAGACTGTTAACTCCAGCCTCGGCAGGGGGGTAGAATCTATTTCTGGTCTAGAAAATAAAATGGCATCTATGTGGTGTACTTGTTTGAGGACCAGGCAACGGGCGGCGACGAGTCGGCGACAGGGCGGCGACGGCGGCGACATAACTAGCCGCCAGACCGCCACCGCCACCCAGACGACGGGCGGCGATGAGGCGGCGACGGGGCAGCGACGGCGACCACACAGCCGCCAAATCGACGGGCAGGCCCAAAACGACGGGGCGGCGACCACGATCACATAGCCGCCAGACCGACCCAGAAGCCCGGCGGCAACGAGGCGGCGACGGGGCGGCGACGGCGACCACATAGCCGCCAGACCGACGGGCAGGCCCAGTTACAGAAGAAGTAAGACCCCTAAATACAAGCACATTCGGAGGAAAATTAATCGGAGGTCCGTGCGGATTTCTTGGATCGGCGTTGGACCGCCCTGGCGGCGCCTCTGGCGCCGTCCCTGGCACGCTCCGCGAGCCAGGGATGGAGGTCCAAAGGCCGACCCGAAAAATCCGCGCGGACCTCCGAGAAATTGTGATGATGCCGTGTTTGTGGTTGCTCTAGCTACGGAGGCTCCGGTAATTCCCCGCCGGCAGCGGGCACATCAGGAACGACGTGTTCACGTACACCACACGGGCGGCGGCCACGAAGGTGTCCTCCGGGTCGTGCGTCTCGCGCCACGAGCAAAACCACTGGTAGAACTCCCCGCGCACCTGGCCGCTCGCCAGGCGCAGGTAGACAGGCACCGGCCTGGGATCCCGCTGAACAGCACAATGCAACAACAAGCAAAAGGGGAGGCGCTACAGGGATCTGTGCTGCACGCCCTTTCTTCACAGCTTTCTCCAGGTGACTGGCAGGCTTCGACTCCTTCACTAGGTTGATCCCTTCTTGATACTATTGTTGGCAACACTTGTTTGTTAACTTGTTACGGGGAACATGTATCATGTCTGGGGGAACCCACACGCCGAAGTTATATAATCCATACTAGCAATTTGAAGACTGCTCAATCCGCCAGAGAGCCTAAAACGGACATCCACGACAACGAGGACGACGACGACGACGACGACGACGACGACGACGACGACGAGGGCGGCTGCGACGATGACGACTGCAACGGCGACAGCGACGACAATTAAGGCTACGACGGCAGTGACAACGCGGACGATGACAACGGTGGCAACGACGACGACGAAGACGATGAAGACGACGAAGACGACGAAGAGGACGACGACGACGACGAAGAGGACGATGACGATGACGATGACGATGATGATGATGATGAGGATGATGATGAAGATGATGATGAGGATGATTAAAAAATGATGGTAATGATGATGATGATGATGATGATGATGACGACGACTGCGACAGCGACAGCGACGACATTTAAGGCGACGACGGCGGTGACAACGGGGACGATGACAACGGTGGCAAAGACGACGACGACGACGAAGACGACGAAGAGGGCGACGACGACGACGACGACGATCGATCTAAGCATCGTGGTTTCGCCTCAATGCTGGCTACATGCTTGGTCCGCACGGCCACTATCCCTTTGACACAACAAACTGTGCTGTCACCCCTGCCCGAGTACGCTGTCACTGGCCGAGCTCCTACAGGCACTCCTCGGCCCGCCTCTTCACCGTTGCCGCTATGAGGGTGCTTTGCTTTGGGCAGTGACTGGCCAGCCGTCCTGGCATCCCCATAGGCCTACTGCACAAGCTTCTCGGACCCCCCAAACATTGCTTTAAGAACTGAAGCAACGTTCTTAGAACACAAACCAGATGTGTTGAAACAAACCAGTCGCAGCCAGAAATGTTCTAAGAACATCCCGTGCAGACCAAACAGGGTTCTTAGAACATCCTTTGGTGGGCCTAGAGGCAAGCCAAAACGCTTCGCCACTGCTCGACTGCTGGGGCAACTGGGGAAACCAAAAAGTACCGATACCGCTACTCCCCGGACCTCTCTCGAGGTGCGCTCTGACCAGGGTTTCGAAGCGAGTCCAGCGGTGGCGACGAGGGCCTCCCAGGAGGTCCTCCAAGAAAGAAAAACGAGGCAAGGGTAGCGGTGTGGGCACCTCTTCCTCCTCTGAGTCACTCTCTTATACGTCCGCTGACGCCCTCCCGCCACTGGCTTGGACGCTTCGCTCGACTGCTGGGGTAACTCTCTGACTGGAGGGTTCCAAAGGGGATTTTGGGGGAGGGGGTTTTCCGGGAGGGGTCCCCGAAGGGCTTCTCACCCCCTGTTGTGACGAGGTTCCGAGGCCCCTGCGGGGGCTCTCTGGAAAACCCCCTCCCCAAAAAACCCCTTCGGAACCCTCCGGTCGGACGTCCGCTGACACCCTCCCGCCACCGGCCTGGACGCCTGCCCCGCGGTGCTCAGGACGGCCAGGGCCGGCGCCCAGCTCTGCACCCGCGGCTCCCTGGCGAGCTCCACGCGCAGGTCCTCCGGCACCGGCAGCACCCAGTCGCGCCGCTCGTGGAAGGAGACGGAGAAGGTCAGCGCCTCAGGAGCTCGGGCCATATATATATATACATACATACATACATACATACATACATACATACATACATACGTACGTACGTACGTACGTACGTACGTACATACATACATACATACATACATACATAAAAGTATACATAGATGCATGCATGCATATATGCATGCATGCATGCATGCATGCAGACATGCAGACGTACGTACGTACGTACGTACGTACGTATATACATACCTACATACATACATAAATACATACATGCATACATTACATTACATTAAAATACATTACATTACATTACAATACATTACATTACATTACACTACACTACACTACATTACATTACATTACCTTACATTACATTACATTACATTACATTACATTACAATACATTACAATAAGTTCTATTACAGGACATACATACATACATACATACATACAAACATACGTACATACATACATACATGCATACTTACATTACAATACAATACAATACATTACATTACATTACATTACATTACATTACATCACATTACATTCCATTACATTACATTACATTACATTACATTACATTACATTACATCCATCCATCCATCCATCCATCCATCCATCCCATTGCATTGCATTGCATTGCATTGCATTGCATTGCATTGCATTGTATTGCATTGCATTGCATTGCATTGCATTGCATTGCATTGCATTGCATTGCATGAAATTACATACATACATACATACATACATACATACATACATACATACTTACATACATACATACATACAGACATACATAGGTGTATACTCACCAGAAATGTTCGAATACATTATCTGGGCCACGAATAAGAATTTATCAGCGGCCCAGCGTCCGCCTGGACGGCCGCCCCGCCCGTCCACTCCCGTTCTCGCGCGTCCGTTGCATGCATTGCTGCTGCGGGGGCGGTGCTTTCTGGCTGTGCCTGCGGATGAGACCACGGGCGCCGGCTGTGGGTCAGAATGCCGAGGGGGGTAGAATAATACATCTTTCGCCACCAGGAACGCTGTTCCTCCATCTGAGAGCGGGCCAGCGGGGGTCCTCCCTATAAAACTCCGGGGCTGACATGACATTGCACGCTGACATCCCAGACACCCTCGAGCCGTGCAAAGAACGGAGAAACAAAAAACGACTGACTGTTTTGGCGAATGTTCTACCTTCAGGGGTCCTCGCCTGGCCCTGGGACCATGAAGCAACTACCCTGGATGAAAAAACAGTCCCAGGGAGGGGGTCGAGACCTCTGGGTGTCCCCGCTCGGAAGGAGCCACGACGTCGGGGCTCTGGGTATATATATATATATATAATTATATATGTGTATTGCCCGGTGGTGCTCGGCGCCGGCTTCCCTTGCGGGGGCGCAGGCAGGGACCACGAGGGTCTGGGGCCCCTCCGGGGACACAGATCTGCCGAGCTCGGCATGCAGTCGACCCGTGTCGGAAGGATGCGCGGTAAGGATGCGAGGGCCTCGAAGGGCCATGTGAACGTTCTTCGCCTGGGCCTTGGGCCTTGGAGGGCTCTGGGTTGGCCAGCGCACGTCGCTAAGGATGGGCCGGAGGGGCAAGGATGCAAGGGTGCCCTTGGGCAGGTTGCCCATCCTTGCTGTGCGGGTTGACTGTGCTCCCACAGACCGCCCATCACAGCACCCCCAACATGGTGGAAACCGCAGGTCATGGTGGCGCGCGCGTGCATCCACTGGCCCTGGCCGGGCCCATCTTTGGGCCCAGGATCGGCGCCATTACTTTGACATCCGCCGATCTGGGTTTCGCAATCCGCGGCCCCTGTGCTGCTACCCCGCGGCCAGTTTTTCGCCCTTGGTCACTGTTTGACGGCCCAGTGGCCCGATAACGGGCCCCGGAAGCCGAGATCGATGAAAAACGCCCAAGCTGAAAAGCTCAAATACAAGAACCTACGAAAAAACAAAATCTATGGAATCTAAAAGAAAAGTCGTCTGAAATCTGGGTATGCACTCTTCTGGCTCGGCTGGGGAGGCAGCAATCCTCCGATCCTGGGCCCAGGATGGGCCCAGCCCGGCCAGGGCCTGTGAGCATATATGTACAGCTCCCGCCGCCTGCTGTGGCAACTTGCCGGATCTTGCGAATCGGCGCAAATCGACGCAAATCGACGCTACATCGAAGCTAATCGACGCTGAACCAGCGCTATTTCATCGACTACCAGACGCTTGTCGGCGCGAACGCACTTCGAAAGCGGAACTACGAGGGTACACAAGGCTCCCATGATTTGCTACCGAAGTCGCCCGTCCGATCAGCGCCTGTGGGCCCTGCCGATTAGTGATGTCGAGGCTGAAGTTGAGCTCCGGCGGCAGCATGCAGTCCAGGGCCCTGGTGCCACGCACGGACGCCCCGAAGGTGGCGAGCGCGTTGCCAGGGTCGGATGTAGAAGAATAGAACACGGCATGAACATTAGCTTTCGGAGCTCCGCGAGAATATATCGGATCGGCGCCGGAGGCGCCGCCAGGGGGGGTCCAACGCCAATACAACCATCCGCGCAGAACTCCGAAAGTTTATGGTTACACAGCTTCGCATTCTTCGAGGATGCCAAGTGTACGGAGCAGCTGGCATGGAACGACTCCGGGATGCGCTCGCCGCGGAGCGTGACGACGCGGTTCCCGCGCACGGGTACGTACTTCGGGCTGACGTCGAGGAAAATGGGCCTGGGAGCGCGCCAGCCGTGTGCGCCGTCACCGCTTCTGGCCAGGCCCGTCCTGGGCAGGCCCGGCGTTCTCGCCCCCCTGGCCCGGCCAGGCAGGCACCGACGCCGCTCCCAGACCCCCGACGCCGTGACCTGATCCACGGCCTGGACCCCAAAAGGCCTGGGCCCATTCCCGGAGACCGGCTCTTCACCCCGAGTCATCCTTGGCGGTCCCGGGGCCTGGCGGGGGCCCTTCGAGGCCGAAAATCGCACACGCCTTCCGTCGTGCGTGGGGCTCTGGAAGGCTGGGCCCAAGGATCGGCGCGGTCTGGGACTGGTGCGGGTGCACACGGAGGAACGGAGAGCTGCGTGAACAGAAATGTTCGGAGCGCCGCGTGGACTCCCTGGATCTAGGCGCGCCAGGGGCGGTGCTGGAGGTGCCGCCAAGGGGGCCCGGCGCAGATCCAAAAAGTCCAAACAGAGCTCCCAGAACCCCCAAGGGACCGGCGCCGGAGGTAGAACGGCAGCGAGAACGGCAAGGCGGTCCTGAGAAACCGCAAAGAACCGACACCATTGTTTTCCGTCTCGTATCGAATCGATGAGGTCACTCGTCGGTGATGCGTATATTAAGTGAGACGCACAGAGACATGGTAACACTAAATAGATTCCTGGGAGTCGCGCGTCCGACCCGAACATATGGTATACCGTATACCCGTCTTGTCGTAGATCGTTTCCCGATCGGTGTGGCCAGAAAGCGCCCGCCACGACGCATATACTATAAAATGTTTCGGTGCGCGCGTCGCCCGTGGGGGGCGACGCTCAAATAGTACTAGTATGTTGGGGCGACGCCGATTGAATCGTGATATGTACATCGACGTCCTACCGTCTGATTATGGAGAAGTGCTGTTTCCAAGTGAGAAAGGAAGGAATGCTTCTCCGGCCGAATCACAAAGTATTGCAATGAGCAACCGCGGGCAGAAAGCTCGAGCCCTGAATACGAAAACGAGAATCAGCAGGAGACAACTCTCAACAATGTTCACAAGAATCCGGACTTCCGCGACACACTGGGTTCAATGCTCCCCTTACTGCAGGCGAAATATCTCAAGCCCTGAAATCACCTGCTGCGGGCGAGGAGAAAAAGGAAAAGCGGCAAGGAACGCTGGGCTAGCCTGCGTACCAGAACTGATCCTAACTCTGGATTCATCCTGATCCTGTTCGACGTCACCGTCTACGCCCTGATCCTCGTAGCTGGAAATGGCTGGAGGTCGCACTTGGTCGTCATCGCCGAAGGTGTCCAACAGACCCTTCTTCATGGTATTTCGGCGCCTTGCTCATGCGACGCTGTCATCGCGTACTAGGGCCCACCTTTGCTCCATGTAGAAAACCAGGGTCACCCGCAGCAGCGGGGCCTGCAACTTGGTCGATCCGCCCGCGACCATGGCCTCAGGGCGCGCCCATCTCAGCGCTGTAAGGGCCTCAGAGCCGAGGTTTCCAGGGCGGACCGCCGGCCATTGCAACCACATCCTGACGAGCACGTTCCCACAGCGCTGTTGCACATGTCACTGCACCGACCCTGCAGACGTGCTGCAGCGGATGTTCGCGTGGATTTCTGTCAATGCAAAACCCTGAGACGGCGAGTGAACAACAAAATGAGCTTCGCGTGGGTTTCTGTTCGTCTTCATTCCTGACCAAGAAAATCCGAGCGATATTCACATCGAAATTCGGAACGAAATTATCCAGGACACTCCGGGCCCATCATATTGCCTATTGTGTTCCCGAACGAAATCCGCTCTGCGACGTTGGCGCCACGACGCACGGCCCTGCAGTCCGTCGCCGGCGCCCTGGGCACCCTCGGAGCGCAGTCGTAAATGTCACGGTGGGTGATCGTCTTCCCGCGCGGCATCTCGCGCCAGGCAAGTCTTGCCCAGTCTGGGGCCTCCGTCGCCACGGCGCCCAGCTGGATCTCAGCGCCCAGGGAATTGTGAGCCGCTGGCGGGGTAACTTGCGAAATACTCCTCGGTGATGGATACGTCGGATACGCGCCCATCCAAGATCCTGCTCTTCGCAATTTCCATTATATCCCGCCGTGCGACCAACCCGATTTGGGAACCTTCCAAGCTGCGTCACGCCTGGAGGTGGAGACAGGGCCGCTCGCGGGCTCGACCTTGATTGTGACCCATGCGACCTCGCGAGCCGCGCGCAGAAACTTGTTGGCCCCCTCGATGGCGATCAGGTTCCCCGCGAGAACCCCCCCTCCAAGAACGCAGGTTTCCTCGGTTAGCCACGTCGCGGCCTGCGACGCCAGGAACACGGCGCGCCCCAAGGCACCTCGGCAGCGAGACCTGAGGCAACGGGACAACGGAGCTTCATCCCGCAGTCGTCGTTTGTCTTTCGAGAGCCCGATGCACTCCACCTCCTGCGGCGCCTTGGCGAGACTCTGGAGCATCGCGCAATCGGCCAGCCGAGCGCGCTCGGACCCGCGCTGGGCGACGAATCCAATCTCCCACGAGCCCCACTTGCACGGCATTTGCGCGCCAACCGTCGAGCATGGGCTCCCCATCGCGAATCGATCCGATTTTTTCAACCTTGTTACACTTGATCCAATGGCACGGATCGAAGGTCATGGGAACACACCCGAGGACCTGGAAGTCGCCGTCTCGATCGCGCTACACTTTCAGGACATTGACCAATGCGCAGGCTGCTCACAGCATCTGCACGCACCCGTCGCCGGCCAGCTGCAGCGCTTCCCTCAGCTCGCGCACCACGTTTGCCAGTTGACCGGGCCCAGGCAGACTCTCGCTTCCCTAGAGGAAAACTGCCTTGACGTCGCCCTTGTAGATACGGAGACACATGTTCGCCTCCATCTGGAGGGCCACGACGCGCCTTCTGGCGGAGACTGCTGGGCTGGACACGTCAGTGGAAGTCAGCCGAGGGTCTTGAAAGCCCGAGAGAATCAGTCGGACCTTCCCCTCCCCCACTCATCTTTCATGGTGTAATGCCACCTCCTCTTCATATAAGGCACCTCTGCAATCCTCACGACTGCCACGCGTGCTTCACTGCTCATCGATTTCGTCACCTCCACCAGTTTCGCGCAGGCCATTATGGCAATGACCTCCGTGGTCGCGCGTCTCACGTCGAGCTGCACCTATCCCTTCCTGACTACCTTCTGGATCACTTGCGCGGGCTTCTCGCTGGACGCCGACTCCGCGCCCCCCACTGCGAGCTCGGCCGCGAAAACCGTCGAGCCCGCACTCCAGCCAGCGAAAATCTAGGCAGTCGCTGACCCCTCGCCCGTTCGGACTTTCTCGGTCGGAGGCGTTTGCTCTGAGTCCTGGAACGAGTCAGCCGCGCGTCTCTCAGAAAAGCGTCTCCGCGCCGACTCCCGAACGTCGCCGCGCGGCGGATTTGCCGCCGCGCCCATCTCTGGAGCTGTCGGCGGCGTTAGAGGGGCCAGTAAACTGGAAGATGGCGCAGATAAGAGCGATTCCACTTGGTCGGGCCCCGACGCCTTCGGATCATCGGCGACGCCGCGAAGGCTTTCTTCGGGGCTCAGCCCTTTTTTTTCTGCCCCGTCGGCTTCCATCTCCTCGGGGTTCGCCCGCCTCGGGTTCTGGGCAGTCTTCCTTCTCGGCGTTCGAGGGGGGCCCCTGAGCTGGGCCATGCGACATCTCCTCGTCCTGTGGTACTGTCTGCTGCAGCGCAGCCTCTGGCCCCCGCCGTTCGCCTTCGACGTGCTCCACTCCGTCGGGGGGGGGGCGCTGCCGGCCTGGGGCCCTAGCATGGAGCACCGACGTCTAGTGCCTCGACCACGGGTTGCCTCTCGATCGGATACGTCTCCTGTAGGATCTCGCGCATGGCCTTCTCCCGTTCCGACGCTGGTCACATTCGTGAGGCGTCGTGAGCACCGGCCGGCTGCCGCGGTAGATGGGCACCAAGTTCCGAGGCGTTGCCGCGCCCTTCTCGCGCATATAGAACTCTCTGGCGACGAGGGCGGGCCCCGTAAAACCACCGTTGGACCTCAAGATCTCACCCCATCCCACCAGCCCGTCCCGCTGCCCAGTTACGATCGCAAGAACGCGAACTCACTAGTGGATCTTCGACGCTGACTCGGCCGGCCCACCGCCCGCCATCATCGCTCATCGCGATCGCGACTCGGTCACCGGATGGACCCGGTCGAAGCCGCGAACCTGACCTGCGTCGCGCCCAGCGGCTCAGCCGCCCGCCCTGCCGCGACGGGAATCAGCCCACACCCAGCGTTTGCCGAGCAGGCGCTGCGCCACGATTGCCCCTTCAACTTGATTGCCCGGGGTCGCGCGCACTTTCTGGCGAGGCACGCGCGCCTCGCGCTCTTGCCCGCGCGGTCGAGGTTCGCGCGGGCGCCCGCGAGTTCCTGCGCGACCGCGCCCGCCGCCATCGGGGAGGGCTCGTCGACGCGGTCCGCCTCGTCGGCGGCGAAGACCCTCGCCGCGCCATCGTTGCAAGCGAATGCCCTCTGCACCTCGAAGTGGTCGATCGGGCCCCCCCGCGATCATGGCCCCCCTTTTTGCGCATTACCGCTCGGCACCTCGCCGAGGCCCCAACCCCCGTCGTTCCTGTCTCGACGGGGGCGCGCTCGCGATCTCTCGCGCGCCCCCCGCATCCGGGCTGGAGGCGACGATCCCCCATCCATTCTTTAAGGAGACCACCTGCGCCTTCGCTCTTGATGCCCCGGCCGAATCCATGGCTGATGGCCTCGCACAGATGCTGCCAGAGCTCGAAGCATCTCCACCGATTCGCGCATCGCTCGCCGCCCCCACCGCCGCATGACCGGCTTCTCCTGCGTCTCGATAGTCTTCGGCCACCCGTTCTGCGCGGCGGAGAACGCAGCGCGCGGGGGGGGGGGGCGCGCGCGCCCACCTGGGCCCATCCTTCCGAATCAGCATCTTTGCCGCGGCCACGGGGCCTCTCTTGCTGCAGTCGGCGAAACTGAGCGCAGCTGGAAGGGCCCACGCGCGCCAAAGTGCCAGCAACGCTTCCGCCTCGCACCCCAGTGGGCCATCCGGACGAACGCAGATCTCCAGCAGTTCGGCGGGCCTGGCCCCAGCAGCCCGCGCCAGTTGCCAGCTGCCCGACGCCCGAGGAATCGCCCGCCGCCGCTGCACGAAAGGCATGGCGTCGCGCCCGCCGGGGAACTCGGCCCACCACCCGCGGCGCATGCCCCGCCGGCTCCATCCACCCAGGCGCCTGCCGAACCCGGCCGCCTCCGAGAACTCGCGCGGGCACCTATTCTTGCCGCGCATCAGTCGCTGGGCACGTCGCCACCATCGCTTCCAGGACTGCATCCGCGTCGCGAGCATTTGCAACCGACGGCGTTTTCCACTCTCCGCGGTCCCCAAAGGCTCTGTCGGAGCGGGGCCCTTCCCCTTGGGTGCCTCCTCGTTGAAAGGCACTGTACTCTTCCATGGTCTGGCCCTGTACTGGCGGCCCCCTCCTTCGCCCAGTCTTCGAAGCCGGTGCTTCCCAAGCCCCCCGCTGCGAGAACGTCGCCCCCGCGCGCTCCCTGGCCC